TGTTCTTAAAGCCATTACTTCAAAGATTTGTTGATTTAATGAACAAGTTTTGGAAAAGCAACAATGGTCTATTTCCCCTGTGAAAGTTTCCTAAATCACGTCTTTTTCTCTTATGCAAAAACAGTTTTTCTACAGCTAGCTAGAGTCCCAAAAGATTCTTTTGGAGTCATCCAGTTTAAACTCTCAATATATACTTGACTTTCTCATGCCCGGTGACCAGCCAGCAACCCCTGGATGAAGGGCACTGCACCCCTTGCAAAGCAGCACATCCCCAATTTGAGTACCCTGTTGGATCATTCCATTCTTCAGCTGAGTCACTATTAGAGTATTCAAGTTTTCTGTTTTCTATTTTTATAGCCAAACAAAACAAATTGCTTCTACTTCCACATTACATTCCTCAGCGCATGGTGGACTTCTACTGTGTGCTTTCTGAGTCTTTTCTTTAGGGCATAAACATTCTCAATAGGTTTGTTTCTCTGCTCATTCATTCATCAAATATTTACTGACAATACTATGTGCCAGGCAAGGCGCTAATATAAACAAGGATAATGCCATACTGTCCTGCTTTCTACAATCTCAGCCTGAAGAAAAATAGATAACCACAGAACAATGCATGACTTAGGTAAGCACAGCAATCTACAATAATAAACAAGGAGTGCCCTATGCACAGAGTTGAAGTTCTCATTTAACATTACCTGGAGCAAACTGAACCCAACAGCATATTGAAAGAATAATTCCACATGATCAAGATTTACCCCTAGGATGCAGGGTTGGTTCATCAAATACAAATTAATAAATGTGATATACCACATTAGCAGATGAAGAAAAAAAACCCTCATTTCAACTGACATTCTTTAAAAGAAATAAAGAGAACAGTAATTTGCAATAACTACAAAATGCTTAGTAGTAAATTTAACCAGAGACATAAAAGATCTGTACCCTGAAAACTGTATACTGCTACTTAAAAAAATTAAACAAGATACAACTAAATGGAAAGACATTCTGAGGTTACGGATTGGAAGATTTAGTATTGTGAAAATGTCCATACTTCCCCAAAAGATCTGATTCCATACAAACCTTATCAAAATTCCAATGACATTTCTCATAAATATAGGAAAAAATAATCCTAGAACTTGTATGGAATCACACAGAACTCCAGATACCTAGGGCAGTCATGAGCAAAAGAATAAAGCTAGAGGCCTCATGCTACCAGATTTCAAACTATACTATAAAGTAATACTAATTAAAAAAATGGGGAGCAGTGATACTTAAAGTAGCACAGTACTGGCACAAAATAGACTTATCAAGCAATGGAAAACATAGCCCAGAAAAAACCCTACATCTTGACAATGAGTTGATTTATAAATATACATGGTAAAAGATGTTCTCTTCACTAAATGAACTCAGGAAAACCAGATATCCATATGAAAAAGAATCAAATTGAACTCTCATATCACCCCACATCCAAAATCAACTCAAAATGGATTGCAAACTTAAACTTCAAAGCTGAAAACATAAACATATTAGTAAAAAATAGAGGAAAAGCTACATTCATCTAGCAAATTTTTTTTTATTTGACTTCAGAAGTATACACAGTAAAACCAAAGGTAAATTAATGGTATTGCCTTCAAATTAAAACCCTCTGCACTGCAAGCAAACAAAAGAGAGGAGATAGCAGATGAACTGAGAGAAAATATTTGCAAGCCATGTATCTGATAAGGGATTAGTATCCAAAATATATCAATATATGAAACTTAACACCACAATGAGATATTACCTGGTATTTATTAGAATGAGTATTAACAGAAAGACAAATGAAGTGCTGGTTAGAATGAGGATAAAAAGAACCCTTAGAATATTGTCATTGGGAGTGTAAATTATGACAGCTATAATGAAAAACATTATGGAGGCTGTTAAAAAACTAAAATTCAACTACTGTATTATCCAGAAACCCCTTTCTTATTTTTTATCCAAAAGACTGAAATCAACATATTTAAGGAACATCTGCACTCTCACACACATTGTAACACCACTCACAATGACGAAATTGTGGAATCAGACTAAGTGTCCATCAAAGGATGAATGGGTGAAGAAAATGTGATTATTTTCATGATTGAATACCACTCAGTCTTTTAAAAAGAAGAAATATCATTTGCAATAACATGGATGGATTTAAAGAACATTATGCTAAGTAATATATGCCAAATACAAAAAGACAAATACTATATTGCTCTCGGTGGTGTGTGGAGACTGAAACAACTGTTCTCATAAAATCAGATAGAAGAATGGGGGTTACCAGAGGCCGGAAGCTGGGAGGGACGGAGAGATGATAGTCAAAAGGTACGACTCTCAGAGAGGAGGTCTGTCTGATTTTAAGTTTTTGGAATCAGTTGCATAGTCTGTTAAACATAGCCAATAACTCAGTTCTGTCTACATCATTGCAGAAAGTAAATATCAAATGTTTTCATCACAGGAAAATGTTCAATATTTGAAGGGACAAATATGTTAATTAGCTTCATTTAGTATTTCCAATTTATATTCAAAAATCATGCCACCAATTTGTATACTACATGAATGTGTAATTACAATTTACAAAATATTACCTAGAGCCAATGCTATCTGAGCTATATCTTAGAATTTGTGAAGAACTGAGCTAGTCAAGTAAGAGGTGAGAGGTTTCTGATAGAGAAAATAGCATAAGAAAAGGCCCAGAGATGTTATAGGGTAGTTTGTGCAGAAAAAAAAGCCAGCTTTTTTATTCAATGTTCATAGAGGCTCTTGTATGAAATTAAAATGAGATAAATTTAAGTGCTAGATCATTAACATCTTGTTGAAATAACAGAATTTTGCATACTCTTTTCATATATATTGATAATATCTGAAGAAAGTATTTGGGTATTTTCCAATCTCAGCTTACTTTCTTCCCTACTTCCATTAACCAAAAGATTATAATCCCTGAGTAAGGCCAATGTGCTCTTGTTGATGTTTTGGAGATACTCATCTTCCCATCCCACTTCCCCCCAAAACCACTGTATCTTAGGAAATTGCCTCATAAATCATGTATTGACTCTCTTCATGACTACATACTTGACCATGTAATTGAGCTTATGTAGTATGTGAAACATGTTCATCACCAGACAGCAGACTATCACAGCCTTTACTGCTGTGCTTGGAACTCCAACTCATCTAGTCTTAATGTCTTATGGCCTTAGATTAGGGTCAGTCCCATAGTCAACCAGTGCTGATGTAGTTACCTGGTGTCAGTAGGAGCTCATGACCCCACAGTGGCTTCCTAGAGATCCTGTTCTCATGATCAGCATGATTAAGATTCGTCCCATCCACTTTTCTTTCTTATTTTCTTTGTTCTAGCTTTATTGTCTGTTTATTGGCCCTGGCATAATTTTTCTTGCGTCGGGGTTTTAATATGAATCCCTCCTGTTACTGCATTCCTCCTTCTATGGCACGAAGTCACTGTATTTGGTTCTCTTAGCCATTTCTACACTTTGCACTTCCCTTCTGCCTTATAAGTTGAAATATTCACTTTTGTAGTTCTAGGGCTTAGTCTAGTGCCAGGCACAGAGCGGTGTGTAATAAATATTAAATAAGCAAATGATTACATGGTTGTTAATAAGTAATATCTGTTCAATGAGCTTAATAATTTCTTGAAGACAAATCGAGTTAAAAAGTCAGAAATATGAGATTTTAGTTGGTATGTCTTAATTATTAATTTTAACCTTTCAACATAAATACACAATTGTGGAAGTAATACACTGGAGTTCAGCTTTATTAATTCACTTACTAAAAAAATTGCTGAACATTACCCTGACATTTACAGTATACAACTATCAAGTTATAGTTGATTTTATCTTGACATTGAAATTTTTGTGACTGAGCACTCTGATTAACTTCTCAAGATTAAATATTACATTCCTAGTCTTCTCTTTTACTTGAGTAGAACTTCATCAAGTAATCATAAATTTAGCAAGTGAAATTTATTGTAAGAATATATAGCAAAATGAAATATCCAGTGACAGGAGACCACTTAAATGATGGTATGGGACCTAGTGAAAAATTATTTAGCAATCTAAAATGGATAATTAAAATGTTATCTTGCTATAGAGAAACAGCTTGAAATACAATGTGAATTGAAAATAATATCAGAACACACTTATGGAAACATGAAGCTCGAGATTAAGAGAGTATATATAAACAAAGAATAAATAAAATGATCTGTGAATTTTAAGAGGATTTAATTATGCTTTAAATAGAAATTTGGGAGGATATGTGTATGGTGGATGTCAATTACTATAATATACAGAGATATGCAAGGTTTATTGGAATATAAACTACTCAGATTTACAGAACAAATTATTGCATGCTTTGTTTATTGCCACTGAAAATGAAAGCCTTGTTTATTATTGAAACTATCTTGCATGTATTATGATTGCATGTATTATGATTCCCACCTTCAGAAGCCAACACATGTTACATTTCATAAGGACACATTTATTTGATGGATAATCCACATTAGAAAAAACAAAATTAGAAATAACAAAATGAAAACACCCAAACTGCAGTATTCTAGCAAGTCAATATTTTCACCTAACTCATTGCTTTCCATTAATTTTTATATATGACTGTACTATTTTTACAGCTGACTCTCTAAGGACTCTGCATTATTTTCACATTACACAATTTGTAAGCCTTTATCTTCTAATTCATAGTGATCATTTTAATTGCTACATAAAGAAGTCATTTTTATTTTTTTAAGAAGTCATTTTTAAAGAAAAATGTAGTTACCCTTGAATTCTTACAGTGCAGAGAGATCGAGGAGTGTTTTTCTTGACCTTCCTGTCTGCTGACTGTGCACTTTATGACTTTGCTTACAAGACAGTTAGCACCCGATTTCCATTTGAGTAGTAATATGATAACAGCGTGCAAGGGAAACTAGGTTTTAGGTGACAACCACATCATTTAATATCTGCTTATTATTTCTACAGGGGAATTCTGGCCTGGGATTCAGTATTGCTGGAGGGACAGATAATCCCCACATTGGAGATGACCCTGGCATATTTATTACAAAGATTATACCGGGAGGTGCTGCAGCAGAGGATGGCAGACTCAGGTAAAGATCTGAAACATTAGAATTATTTGCCAATTGATCTACTGCTTCAATGAGATCCATTCGGACCTTCGAAGAAAAAGTTATGCAACATTTCTGAACTTGAAGGAGAAGGTTGTGGAAGCAAGCATTCTGCTGCAACTTCACAGATTTCTTGCTACTTCCTGAATTTCAGCTAGTATTAATTTGTGTCGTTTGAAAGCTACCACATGTGACACTGGAAGAGCAACTTTGAGGAGGAAATGCAGGCATATCTTTTGTTCTCATGGGCCCTTCAGTTTGGTTGGAAAGAATAATAATACGAATTAATGAGCAAATATAAAATATACAAACAATGCATTCAAAGCAGTATCAGACGATAATGCAGTGTTATAGACAACATTTTTTGTTTTGTTTTGTTTTGTTTTGTTTTTCTCCGGTACCGGGAACCGAACTCATGACCTTGCGCCTGCCAGGCAGGCGCTTTTGCGCTGAGCTAAATCCCCAGCCCCGACAACATATTATTAATGGGTTTAGCAACCATTTGTAGGGCTTTCACTAGATGTTGAGAAGGATGGGGAGGGAAGGAGAGAGAGAAATGGGGAGAAGAGAGATTATTTCACAGGATGATTCCAGTCTGAGTATTAAAAGATAACTAAGAGCTCAATAATCTTATAAATCTGAGCTGGAACACAGAGAAAAAACAAATTGTCCCAGAGGAAAAAAAAGGAAATATATCTTGACTTAGAAACAGACTATGTGGTGAGTTTAAGTGGGTAGAGTAGAACCAGATACTGTTAGGTAGTAGAGTAGCATCAGCTTGAACCAGGCTCCTCTCTTAAAAAAAACCAAAATATTATTTGGGAAAATCAGAGTCATCCAGATGGGCCAGTTAATAAACAATCGAAAATGCTATTAGAGATGTAAAACACTGACTAAAAAAAAATATGTCAGAGACTCACCTGGGGATAATGATGTACCTAACGCCATTTTAACACTCCTCCTAGATTTTAAATATCATTTTAAATCTCTCAATATGTAGAGACATGTGGCTCAATACATTTTTGCTAAGTGGATTAGTTTTTGAATGAATATAAATAAGTAGAGAAGAGAAAGGAGGATAAATGCACAGGAGGATAGAGAAGTTGTGCTAAATAAGTTACTCTTGACACTCAAGACCATAAGCAGGACATTCTTCAAGAGGGAGTACTGCCCAGCAGAGTTTGCAGAGGGGGACAGAGAGTAAGCACATGGCTCTGAGTATAAGAACAAGTAGGGCCGATGGCCAAGGAAAGGCGTTGGGGTCAGTGGGCAGAAAATTATTAGGAGAAAATATCAAAAATAAAAGGGATTTTGACTAAAAGGATTTGATAAGTTTCTTGCTTAAGACAGGCCATGGTGATAAGACAATGAGGGTGCAGTGTGAGAAAATCGATCAGAGACCAATAATAGGATGAGGATGTTACTTAAACAGACTCAGGAGGATTCTTGCTAAAACTGCACTAAATGTGCTTGAAGAGCCCAAGTTTAAGGCATAGTAAAGCAGAGGGCTCAGAAGAATGTAAGTCCTTTTGGTCAAGAGGAAGCTTTGTCAGACTTACACCAAAATCCTGTAAGTTACAATGACTTTAGTTTACCTGGAGTTGCACTGAGGAATGTGACTCAAGTGACAGAAATGTAGACCTCCCAGCCCTGCTTTAGGCTGTTTTCATAAAGCATGATTAATCTAGTTTGGTGCTTTTCTTCTGAAGCACCCGAAGACACTGATGCTCTATCTACTCATGAGGCAGCAATTATGGTTTGCAGCTGCATATTTGCAGCTCACTGAGGAGAATCACATTGTTTTCTCAGGTACTTGTTTATCTCCTGTCGATAAAAAAGGCACTTCCACAGGAAGCATGCTCTTTGGCAATCCAATTTCCAAGTTGAGGTGACTAAATAATTTAGCATGTGGAAGTACTCACATTGAAGACAGAGAGCTTTGAAATAGATGCTAAGTTGGGGGTAGTACATTTGCTAATGTCTAACCACGTTTATAGAAACTCCACTTTTAAAGTACAGAAATCGACTTGTTGGGGCATAATGCAGAAGTGGATAGACTACCGTCATCATTTGGAACTACTCTCTTTACGCATGTGGGGAACTCACCATTCCTTAGCAAATGCTGGCTCTAGGCTTAGGATAGAAGAGATTTGATGTTACCTGGCTGTTCTACAGTTAAAAAAATGACATCTCTGAGAATGTCACTCATCTTTTTCTGCAAACATGGGTGACAATCCCGTGCTTGTATGGTCAAAGGAATCTCTGCTGTCCTGGATGCTTCCTTTGATGGTTGTAAAGACAAATAATGATGAGAGTTAACATTTACTGAGCTCTTATTATGTGTGGGATGTTGTTAATTTTCTACTTAGTCACAATTTCCTTCATGCTGACCTCTATCCATTGATCTTCAATTTTGCTTCCTGGATATGCATACCACCTGCTAGGGTTATATGATGAAAAATCCTGTGAATTTCTGTGCAGTGATCCTAACAGAAGCAATAAAATATACCTACTCTTCAATTCACTTTATAACTTCTTGGCATTGCATGGATAGCTTTTGAATCTCCACTTTATTTTGGTAGATCCTAGATAGTACTGCTAAGATTGTTCCCCACCTTACTGCTTTCTGCCATGTAGTTGAATGACTTGGGAACATCTAAGTGTTCAGGAATGACAATTAGATGAAAGTGTGGCATCATGACATTAAATAAAGATTTTAAGGGGGCTGGGGATTTAGCTCAGCAGCAAAAGCACCTGCCTGGCAAGTGCAAGGTCGTGAGTTCAGTTCCCGGTACTGGAGAAAAACCAAAAAAAAAAAAGATTCTAAGAACTTGCCCTGTGATCTAGCTCAATGCCTACAATACAGAGGAGATACTGAGCTTCAGAAGAGTAACATCCCAAGACAGCACATTTGGAGATCTATTTTAGCTAGAATCCAAATACCATGACTCAAATAATGAACATTCTATATCAGCATGAATACATAGTATACTAGTTAGTGTTCTCTAGGGAAACAGAATCAAAATAAAATATTTGTACAATTATGTAAGGGGATTCTTTGTAGCTAGGCTCACAGGGTCAGAGGTAGAAGAATCAACAGTGGCCAACTGCATGTTGGACAGCTAGAGGACCCCAGAGCAGCTCAGCCCAAGAAGATGGGAGCTGCAGAACAAAAGGGTTTAAGGATGCAGCAGTTGTGCAAAGACAAAAGGGCCTGGAAGTTCCCTGCAGAGCCACCACTGCAAGCCAGGGTTGGAAGGCAGAGAAAGTGTAGACCAATATCCAAAGGTGACAGGGAAGACCAGAACTCTTCAGAAATAGACACACTTCCTTCTTCTTTCCCTTTTCTGCTTCACTGCTTGATGCTCCTTCTCTGTGGGGAATGTCTTCTCCTCTCAGTTTGCTGGGCTATGCGTCAGTCATCCACAGACACACCTAAAACTGGACTCCACTAATCTGCTAGGCATTTCTTAATATGTTCAAGTTGACATTTCATAATTTACAGTCATAGATGTAGTACTCAGGCCCAGCTAAGCCAACCCAAATCTTGCCTCAGTGTGATAGGAATAGTGGCTGAGGCAAAATTAGTAAAGTCTCATGAGTATTTCTTAATCTCACTATTAGTCCTTGAGGGTAGGGGAGCAGACAGTATAATAAACTCTAGGAAGGTATAAATTTTAATGTCCGTATACTAACATAAATGACCTTGTATAAGTTAAACCCTCTTAGTCACCATTTTCTCATATGTAAAATGGTGGTAAAAAATAACCCTATGTTAACGAGTTACTCTAAGGATTCAGTGAGGACCCAGCTCTGTCACACATATAGCAGGTGCCCAATAAAATTTACCTTTCCTCATTATCTCCCCTCTCAGTAACCTGCCTTCCCTTTCTTCTATTTGTCTTTTCTATTCCCTTTCCCTTCATCTCTTATATACTAGATTCAGTCTCCTTTGACCTTCTGTATCCTTCCCTAATCTTCCTGTTCCTATTTTTTCACACCTGTTTTCCTTTTGGTCATACTTTGATATAGAATTAAGGACCATTTTAAAAATATAAATGGGTGTTCCTTTAAACTACTAAATTTGTGGTAATTTTCCAGGCAGCAATAGAGCATGAATTCATACATCATTCTAAGAATTCTGGAGTCATCACGAAGAGCTTTTTTGTGTATGCTAAATTGTTCTGAAAATAAAGAAGAGGGTGTAGGATTATGACACAAAGTGAGAAGTGACTTTCTCCCTAAATAGACCAGACTCCAAGCTGAGCTCCAGTGGTTGTCACAAAAAAGAGAAGGAGGAGGAGAAAAGCATAATACTTGGAGTTCATGGACCTGGACTTCAAGTTCTACTTCCTCCCTACGTGACCTTGGACTTCTTTGTAAGTTGTCTGTTGTCTAGCTGCCTTGCTGATACACTGGAGATAAAAGAGTACGAATCAGGAACCTATGAGAAAGATTATATGTAAGGGTGGGTGTAAAGGACCTGGGTGAAATGTGAGCCCCTCAACAAAGCTCAGGTGTCTGCAGAAGTAGACACTTAGCAGAATGCTGAACCTGAGCCATGAGTCTGTGACATCCTTGGACGGGCACTATGATAGGCAAAATCCAAAAATAGCCCTCAGTAATCATATTCCTGATGGCTGAATAGAGGAGCCCTGTTCAGAGCTACTCAGAGAATTTCAACTAAAAACATAGGTAACTGGAAAAAAGGGAAGGGACAGGCACCATGACACCAAAGTCAATCTGAAATAAGAGACTCATAGATCAAGTAATGATATCCCTGGATAATCCCTTGCTTTCACCAATAACATTGGAGAAAGGCTATTTTACAGTGCACTATTAGTAATTTATACATACATAATTTGGGGCTATTTTCTAAGATATGCAATGGCATATTTTTTTCCTTCTTTTGCATTTGTTTGATCAAGGTGATCAAAGAAATAGAACCTTTAGAAAATATTACAAGTCATTTGCATTTTGTT